ACTTTACTGTGAAGCACTTTGGGACGTCCTCCCGACGTGAAAAGCGCTATATCAAATGCAAGGATTATTATTATTATTATTAAACACTGGCATGGGCTAGTTGGGCTGAATGGTTTGTTATTTCGGTTTTTATGGGAGACTCACATTTAGCACTGGTGTGACAAGGTCTGACTAGAATTCAATGTAATGTTGTGTAATTTGATGGCAAAGGGGAATGATAGCAGCAGTGGTAACTGGTGATATGTTGCATCTAGCAACAGTGAAACATTCTTATGGAAAAAGCATCATCAGGCTAGGATGTTGCTACACTACTCTTCGGGATGAAGATAAACTTTTCACAGTCACAATGGTGGGGAAATCAATTTTTAGATCCACCACTGATATTAATGACACATTTGAAGCGCAATGCACATCGTTTTCAAACATTGAAGAAATTGGTTGTATTTAGGAATTCACTGAAAAATTCGAAAATTGTTTCATTAATGTAGAAACATGTTAATTATTTACCACAGTGCAACTAAACAGCTTACTTTTAATAGTTGGTGGTGTTAGTTTTGTGGAACGTTATGCTCTGTGCACACTTTAAAGTGTTACTTCTGCTTTTTTGGTTTGGCACTTGCCATGAGTTTGGACTACAAATTAGGTAACAGGTAATTTTCTGAGAATGTTCTCCCTCTGATTGGGAGCTGAGTTTCCCCGCCCACTTCCCTCATCTCTGTGAGATCTGCTTCCAATATGCTTCACCTACTGCAGGGGTTTCAGGTGAATTTAAAAAGAAAAGCAAGCCTACGGCAGATTTTCATGTGCTCGAAAGGGTAAAGGAGTTTACAAGAATGAAACCAGCGCAAAGATGCAGTAATGCCACAAGGGAGAGCTAAACCCACTTGGGAAATCTGGTGGTTTCCACATCAATTGCATCCCAATTTTATTTTAAGAAGTGCTTTAAATTGAACATGGTTTTTTGTCAAACTGCAGATTTTAAGTTGTTCCTAAAAAAATATTTACCGAGGTTTCTTCAAAATATACACTGATGGAGCCATTTTTCATACAGTTCTATAAGCGTCGTTTTACACCCATCTGCCTTAGAAATTCAACTCTGGGCACCAGGAAAGTTTTGCTTCAAATAATATTCAGGACAAGAATAATTTTTATTATTTTACAATTCTATTTCAATAAGGACTATTTTCCTAATGTACCTTTTGAAACCATAATTTCAATAAAGCTCTCCCTTGTGTCCTTTGCCCCCACTTTCCCTTGAATAAATATTAAATTATACACATCAATCAAATGGCAAAGCTGCTCTCCACACTAGACAAAGGGCAAATTGATGTAAATTGGTGACATTTGGACAATTTCATAGATTATCTTCTGGTGTTATCAAAATGCTAATGCTAATACTACATATAGAATACTCAGTCCCTAATAATATATCCGTGTGTAGCCTTGATACCATGACCAAGTATTCTGGCAGTAGTTTATGTACTATAAGATCCTATATACTTGGGAGTTTTAGTCTCTATGTTATCAGTCATTTCCGGAATACTGTCTGAAAACAGCATGCGCAAACTCTTTCCTGAAGACTTCTACTCAATAGAACACAAGAATAGGTTTCATTACTGCTGAATTTTTCTTCTTTTTTAAAAAAACCTAATTCTTGGCACACTTTTAAAGAAGCCTATGTATAGAACTGTGACTATGCAGAGAGGAAAGCAAGGCACTGTTCGGATAAAAAAAAACAAGGAACTTTTTTTTTGCTTCATGGGCTCCCACTCACATGCACCAAATCTGGCTGAGTGGGAAGAGTCCTACATCTGCTAATTCTCCTCCCTCTGCCATTCTCCAACAACTCAGTGCATAGAAATGCACAAGGCCAGTCACTGAGATGTTCGCTCAGATTTCTGTGTTCACCAGTGGGGACATGCCTTGGTTTCCTCTGAATGACGCCCAAAGATAGAAAGGTTCAGATCAGGATTTCACCGAGTGGGAAATCTTGGATGCTTCCCAAACATATGTGGAATTATTAGTTTAATGGCCTGTATTTGCATATTAAACAAAAATTACACGTGGTGATGTCCGTTTCTGTCTTATCTCTCAAAACTTCTCTTGCATCAATAACAAAATAAACTACGTGAACAAAGCCAATTAAGTAAGAGAATGCAGGGCAGTTTTGCTTGAGGTTCTCTGCATGTTCTGTGTTCTTTTCAGATCTAAAATTGCAAACCTGGGAATCTGTTCATAACTAAACAATAGTATGTTTTTTTCTGTTAATAATTTGGTTGAAGGAAAGTGCATATTAAAGTGGATAACTATTTAGCGACCAATGACAAAATGGAGAAAAGTAGATGATTCTAGCAGAAAAAATTCTGCAATAACTTGCATTTCGAGAGAAGAGGTATGGAAAATCGTCAAATTTTAGAGCCATTTACTGGATGATGAAGAATGCTGCTTTCCTCACTTTGGTGATGCATGAATAGAGTTATACAACTTGGCTTTGCACTCTCTCATTGCTGTTATGTGCTAGAATTATTCTCACGTAAACAGAAACTGCATCACACAGTGCGATTACCAACACCAACGCAAAGCCAGTTCAACAGTTGCACCTTCTCACTAGCCTTGATACCATCAACAGCTGAAGAGATGTTTTCACAGTGACATTTATATCAGAACGGTTTATCACAAGAGAGGTTTGGATGAAGAAAGCCCTTTAGTAACTTGATCTTATCCTTCCACAATAGCAATAACAGTCTTCCCATTACAGCACCTTGCTATTTCTTAAATGATTACAGTGCCCTGGCCTCAACAACTCAACACTTTCTCTGTTCCATTTACAACCACATAAATCTCTCAACGCCTCTACTGAGATGCCCTTTCAAGGTATAGAAAACCCCTATCTTATCTGGTTCTCCTCCTAACTCATCCCTTTAACACTGCAGATCATTCTCTTGCTCTCTTCTGCCCTTGGGGCCTGAGCAGCCTCTTTATGTTGCAGTGGCTAGAATTGTATACAATACTCCAGTTGTGACCTTACCAGAACATTGTGCAATTTGAGAATAAATTAAGAGGAGATCCCCAAAATAGCAAATAGCATACTGGGTTATGTTGCTAAATCAGTTGAGGATTTAAACTCAACTGACTTGGCAACATAACCCAATATCCTGTTTGCTATTTTTGGAGATCTCCTTTAATTCTACAAATCGCCCACTCTCAAACAGGCATCATTGTAAATGTAACGGTAACTACTTGACACTGAGTATGCAAATATAGGTCATTTATGTCTACCAAGAACAGGTCCCAGCATGGCACCCTGAGGCATTTTCATTCAATAACCTCCTCCATTGAAACCCAGCTCCTCAAATGACCTTTGTTTCATTTCCTTTTGGCGGATACTTATCCGTGTCCATGTCTTTCCCCAGACACCCAGTGATATCAGTCTTCAAAGAAGACTCTCATGTGTTAGTTCATTAAAGGTGCAATGCCATACAACTTCTCAATGTTAATTTGGGTTATCACCTGCTCGAAAAGTCTGCATACCCCACCAACTCCACAATTTTTCAACTTTTGATTAATGCATATTTTCAAAGCAAAGTTGGTTGTGTGTGATGATTGTTATTTTCGTTACCTTTGAAGGTCCATAGCCATAGCCTCAAAATGATTCCTGGAGAATTTGGAGAAATATTGCACAAAAAATGTACAGCAAACCTTTCTCAAGAGTAAACTAGCAACTAAAAACATAACTTGTCTGAAAGATTATCCTACAGAAGGACTACAGCTATATCCAAGATAGTCCGTGACTATATTGATCAAGACGCCCAATGCAGTTCTGACGGAGAAGACATATTTGATTTTTGACTAATTTGTATTTCCCTCATTAACAGTAGCAAAAGCATTTGAAAGCAACATGCTGAGTATTAAGAAAAGTCACAATCAATCCCTTTTCAGCAATTGTGTGGGGTAGCCAAAGGCGGGGAAAATAGTGCTGCACAACAAGAAGAGACATTTTCTACAATGGTTAGGACAGATGTACGGTGATCAACTGGACGCCAGCAACATGCAAAAAAAAAACACACTTGATTTTCTGGAAAGGTTCTTCAGACATCAGAATGCTTCTCAAGAGATAAGCAAGACTGTTTCTCAACAAAACTGACAATGTGGTGAGGATGCAGACAGAGTACAAATCCACAATTTCAGCTTTCCTCCAGGTTCTGAAGGAATTTAAACCAAGCAAGGTCAGTGCTCAAACAATACATGCATAAAAAGATACATACATGAAAGTCACTCACAATACATTTTAAACCAAAACCGTTTGAGTGTGGCATGGTATTGCATACATTTTCTAAGCCCCATTCAAAATGGTATAATTTGTAGATCTGAATTCCATTGGCACCTGCATTACACTATGTTGGTTCTGGGCGCAGACTTATCCAGCTCTACTTCAGACAGCAGAATTTTTATTTTCTTCTTACATTAATTTTATCGAGTTAGAAGCCAAACCAGCAGAATAAACCATTACCTGGGGATTGCGCCAGGGATAGATTCAAAACACCCGATCAACAACAAAAACCTCTAGAGTATTACGGTGGTTTCAAACGTGATACTGTGCAATCTGAGGGTAAATGTTCTAACAGCATTCTACTCAACTGTAATTTTAAAATTGAAGTTAAATGAATTTCCGGCATGAACAATAAAAGCAATAAAAAGTGGTCACTGTTTTCCATCAATACAGCTCATTGGCAACTGACACGGCAAAACAGAAAGGTGCCAAGCCAACTCAAATGGAACGCATTTTTCCCCAAACAAAATCTAGTTAGGAAAGCACCTTATCTTAGAAGGCTTATCTGTAATCTAAGAAGTGGGATTTAACAGTTGCTGTTAATGATTCATTGCTATTTATTATTATTCACACGTTCCCTGATTTAGGTAACCCTCCATTACTTGATTCACAAACTTGATTATATGATTAGAAGCAAGGTCTCTGCAAGGTGCTCCTGGAAGTTACTCACTTTTGGTGTTGGGCATGAAGCAGTCGACAAACGCGATGTAGCTTGAGCTCGTGGAGATTCAGAAGGAGTTGTGCTGAGCGACGCGTTATCTCGTGGAAGCACTTGGACACCACGAGAAATAATGGATTCTGGGATCTGAAAGCATACCAAATGTAGATAATATATTTCAAAACTTTCATTCGTCATCTAATCCACCTTCGTACGTGAAAAGTTCAATTCACATCTTAATTCAACGCTTCTCGTTACGTGCTCTAAGTTATAAATGGATAAATTTAGAATTGTCATAAAATGATCCTGGGCCACTGTACAGAATCTAACTGCAAAAGGAAGGTTTGCCGCTGTCTACTCCCCCGGCCCCTCCCCCTCCCCCCACATCTCCTCCAAACGAGTTTCTCAATAGATAAAACTCCAGCTAGCCAATTCTAAACTTCTGAAAATGGAAAATAAATGCTATGTTGAAAACAATAAAACCATTTAGTTTGCAGTTAAAAACAATTCATCTGATTTAACTGATATTTTATAGACCATTGCTGATATTTTAGGTCTTTTTTAAACAAGAAAATCTATCATGATAATAACTATTAATAATTAACAACATTACACAAGACTATTCCTCATGCTCAATAATAGGCACAACACTTCTGTTGTTCTACTGCTACACTATTACAAAACGTTTGGACAATCCAGTTTAAAACCCCAAATCATAAGTTTCATTTTAAGAAAGCATGATCAATTGCACCTGCACACTTTAGTTATATCATCACATTTCTGGAAATTGATCACTTGCACTAATATGGCAGAAGCGATCATTGGTGCAATCTTTTAGTTCCCAATATCCACCCCTCTCTTTTGTACTTGGAGCTAATGATTCAGTATGTTGCTTATGAATTCAAAGGCAAAAATAACCATGCAATGTTAAAATCCCCAAATAAGCCTTTGTGCCCATTATTTATAGGTACACTAAGGAGGTTCGATTGAAAGACTTCAAAACATCTGTGAGTAGGATTGATGAAGTAATGTTACAGATATTAAAGGAAAACTGCTGCAAGGTGGGGCTGATATCTTCAGGTGGTTCAGATGGGATAGATTTAAAGGCCAGCAGCAATAAGTTTACAAAAAATACTTATTTTATTAAAAATAATTGTTTTATTTTTACATGTTTTAAGGTTAATGAACTAAGATGAAAAAATTGACCCAATAGTAAGGGGAGGGGGGGATAAAAATATCAAGGTCGTTACTGGAAGAGTTAAGGGGAAATTTAGAAGAAACTTTCATGCAGAGAGGATCATTAAACCGTGCAATTTTTTACCACACGTGGCTATTGAGACTGAGGCCAGAATCACTTGTCACGAGAATTGGATAAAAGTCTCCCATGAGAGGGGAGTGAAAAATTAGACTCAGTCTAGTTAGCTTCAGTGGAAGAACTGCCACTAACATTAGCTTACTAAGCCAAATGGCCTCCTTCTCTGCAGTGATTTCTGTACTCCTATTCTTATGAAGGTACATCTGTTTAAGAGACAGTTGCTAAATTTGAACCCAAACTACAGAAACTTCTAAATGATGAAATGCTGTGGAAAGGTAGTAAATATTCCCTTAGATGCATTGGATTGAAATCTCTGAAGGCCATTTAAAGGGAAACTGGAGCTATACATCCGATTCTGTGGAAGGTGCAGAGACCAAACCTCGAGTTTCCGATTTACATTTCTAACAATTATTTTCTATTATTGATTTTCCAGCGAGTTTCATATTTTACATCAAAGATTTGCTTTTTTTGTCTCTAATATTTGAGGGTTGTGCACTAGTTTGCTGGTTGCCCCTCAGTTTCCTGAATAGGCTCTTGTTATTCACTTTGATATTCCCACAGTCTGTTTCAATTTATTTTAACATCACCGATATGTCAAGTGAGAAGCCCCTCATGCCATCAAGTGTAATGACACTGACAACATGCACTAATTGGGGCACACGCTGTCAAGGTTGTAACATTTAGCAGCAGAGGAAATCAGAGGACGTTTTAGTCATATTGTGGAAAAGTGGAGTACAAAGGTTTTTCTTTCCCCCCTCATGTCTGATACTCATTAAAAGAACAAAATAAAAACGTATGAGCGAGTCAGGCGTGGGCAATGAGAACAATATCAAATGTAACAAATGATAACATGATTATGAAGATACACGTTTTGGTGAAAATTGAATCGAACAGTTTGGAAAGTTGCAGCTAGATGGCCCAATATAACAAACAACAAATCAGTGCAAGTGGTTCATTTCCTCATGGTAGCGCACTGCAGTGCTAGTATATGTTCGCTGTCTCTTACCGTCTCTCCTGCACTGATGGCAGTATGAGAGTGATGACCAATGAACCCAGGGATAGGTTTACCACCTTTAGCCATGACGGGAGCGGGACTGTGTACAGGTTGGAAGCGCTGATGTACAACACAACTATCAGGACTATGACAGGAAAACACAGGTAACTGGAGAAAAACAAGCAAAAATGATTTTGATGGGTAACAATGAAATAGGTAGGTTGGTTGTACATGTAATGATTCCACTATTTAGTAGACAGCATGTTACCTTGGCTGCTATGGCTGCTGCTGTAATGTGTGAGGATGAACTCTCTTCAGTTGAAGCCACTCCACTATCCTTCTTCTCTTCCTCTTCTTCCTCACACTGAACGCCTTTGTCTTCGGTCTGTTTGTGGGGGCTGGTGGTAGGGGGAGGAGATAGTGGCGGAGGAGGTGAGGGAAGGTCCTCCAGTTCATCATGAACCTCTTTTACTTTCACAATTGCATCCCTCAACAAGTCGATAGCATGAGGTAGGGCTGGTAGTATAAACTGGAAGCATTCCTGCACATAATTTTAAGGGTAAAAGAATATAATCCAGTTTAAGAAAACCGTGACTTTCAGAAATAGGAATTTGGTTAAAGGATTTATGGTTTATAATCGATCAACTTAAAATAAACCGTTTCAAAATAAGGGGATACGATTGTCTTCTGTAAACCGTCATGTATGTGAAATTACATCCACACAACAGGCAAGGGCATTTTGAGGATTAATAACTTGAAGGACAACTCTACCGTACTTGTAACTCCTCATAAAATTACTCACTGCAAGAAATGTAAACTGATTCTATACTTAATCAACATGAACATCACTGTTATGAACGGACCATTGCACTGAAACTACTCTTGGTCCATAAATTATTCTCGTCTGATAAGGTGAAAAGATCTCCGTCTCATCTGCAATTCAGGCATATGAGAAAGAAACAAATTGCACGTGCAGATCCTAGCGTAAGATGGCACTGCACAGTAAATTTTACCTCAGTGGTTTCTCAGCGATTTGTTTTGGGTGAGGGGGTAAGAAAGAAGTGGAATCCTAGCGGAAGAAATTAACCCTCTGGTGGAGGTTAATTTGTAACTTATAAGAAGGGGCTCGCACTTAGATCAAGCCTTGTACGTACCTGTGAACCTTTCTTGCTACCAGGCAGGTTAATAATCAGAGTTTTGCCCCTTATTCCACACACAGGTCTGGCAATAGAAATAAAAAGACATTATGTACAATAGTTTTGCCTTAAAATAAAGTTTCTCACAGTCCAGACTGTCTTGAGTCACCAGTTGAAAGCGAACGTGTGGTGGGGAGAGCCCTGAAAAGGGGAAGTGGATATATTTCCACTTCTGAAGTAGAATATACTCTTAAGATTTTGGCCAGCAATTGAAAAGTGAGGTTGTTTTTCCAAAGAATTTCAGCTTCTGACCAATGAGGAAAACTGAATTATCGGCTAGTTCTGTTTCATTTCTTTTCATTGCTTCTATGGTCATGCCAAGTACAGCATTGATATTTGAGCAAAGACTTCTCAGAGAAAATAAGGATAGTGCAGAGAGATAACCACCATTTTCAAAGAGGTGCCATTAGATCACATCTAATCAGTAATTAAAGACAGAGTCATACCAACACCTATGGGCAAAAAAGAGGTATCACCTATCTGTGTTTTAGGCAGACAATTAAATTACATTAGCTTCTTTTAAGAAAAGTTCAAGACACAAAACTAAGTGAATGACTTTTCAGTTATAAAATAGAATAATTTGCTTGAAAATACATCAGGATGTGGAGCGTTTTTAAGTTTTGACAGATGTCAAAATTGAGGAAGATCAAAGTCACATCTGGGACCTCGGGCGAGATTCTCCCTCAATGATTTCGAACGGGGAGAGAATTTTGCCTCAGAATCCGGCTAAATGGGGATTAACAGGTCATAACTCAGGAAATAGAGGTCTCAAGAAAATCAAAATTCATTCTGATCAGTCAGCACTTAGCCTTCATGGTTCCAAAATTAGTAAGGTTGAGTGTAAAACTTGGACATTTCCCAAGCAGGACTTCCAATTAAATTGCAACTTTTGCAAAAATTAAATAGTAACATTTGAAAATGCCCTCAATGCCCTTGGTACGTTTATCGAATGAGAAGCTGAGCCATACGTGCCATAAAATTTCCAGGTTTATATTCAATCTCTGGTCCCTGAATTGGCTGATCGCAGCGGAAGACTGGACTCGGAGCTAGTGGTAGGATAATCGATCAGGATTCCCAGGCCTCATCAATATCCAGCAATCCCTGCTGGAGCAAGGACAAGATTGGGCTTGTATGCAATGTTCCCCACAGGCAATTAACTAATGGCATTCACTGTTCAGGCTGACACATGAACAAGGGGTCACTTGGAAGAGACACAGTGGGACATCCAGCACATGTGGAATGGTACATCAGTAAATACAAAATGGAATCAAAAACTTGAGGAGGAGAGGGGTGAGTTAAAATTGACAAACCCTTCCTCACAGACACCTACAAACTTGAAATCAGCATCAAATTCAGCAGCATGCATCTTATATCGGTCAACATCAAGGCAACAACAGCAAATTGCATTCATATAGTGCCTTTCACTTTGACAGGATGTCCCAAGGCAACTCTCAATTGCTCAGAATGAAACAGGTTTTTAATATCGTCAAGCACAAGAAGAGAACAATAGGCAGCAGTGTAATGGGTAGAGATTCCTTGCTCAGAGATAGGAAGCTTTGGGGCGGGGGGGGGGGTGGCAGAGGATCCACATTTACCTTGAACTTGGTCCACAGCAGCTATCCTTCAATAAAAAGACCTCTATCTTCCCCTCTCCTCCCAATCTTTTGTAGTGTCTTTTCTGGAGAGTTAAATCCTCGCAAAGTTGTTATTATGGATAATGTAAGTCTGGTGCGTTCTCCGACTAATTCAACAATACCGTATAATGTGCAACTATTGTTAATATCTGCTCACCCTTCCACAAACTATAGAGATCGGTATCTCGGGAATAAATGATTGCTTACCGAGACAACATCCCCAGAGGAGTGACATTCAATGAACCCATCAGCATAGCCAGCGCCATCCCAGGAGCTTCCCTTTCTATCACCTCCTTCGTGGCCTAGAATTACAATGAAGACAGATCAAAACTAGTTAAAATCAGTATCAACCCAGGTTACATTAACTGTACTGTAATCCCCTTAATATTCTGCAAGTAAAGATTGCGCAAAGCAAATTAAAGGAAGGGCAGCAGCTGGGTTGAAAAAAAAGACAAATTTGTACATTTTCCAGAGAACAATATTTAAAGATAGCTTTTTTTTAAAAAAAAGGTAACTTGATAGTCTGCTGATTATGATAGGAGAATTACAGTATATATGGTCATTTATTGGTGTTTTTTCTTTCTCTATGGATCCGACTCTTATTGGGTCATACAACCTTTCTAGTGCATTATCAGTATGATCTATATCCATGAGGGAACCTAGAGAGTAAGTGTCAGGAGGCTATTGAATTGTGGAGCACATAACAGCCACCACAAACACACACACACACACACCCACATAGCTTGCCCCCTCTCCCCCATACACACACATGCACACACTCATAGCTCCCTTACACCAGAGGAGGATGGTGGGGGGGAACTACATTAAATCATCTAGGAACTGAAGGCCTCCATAGGATTTTCTGGGTCTGATTGATTTAGTTTCACTCTAAGCAGTAGTTTTACCCGGTGGGGCATCGGGTGAGTGACACTGACTGTACAAAGTGTCATACAGTGTATAAGTAAACTCCAATTCAATAACACTGAAAACAGTGAGTAAGTTATGGTTAAATGCAAAAAGTAAAATTTTCAACACAATATTACTGTATATACCTGTACAATATAGAAGTGCCCAAGGCTTATTCCTATGTGAAGGGGATAAGCAGTAATAGTATCTGGAAATGGCGGTAGTTAACTATATAAGGAAAAAATGCCTTTTAGCGCTTAGAAAAAAAATTCCAAAGGAAATGCAAATACACAATGCCTATGAAGAAAATTCAAATGCAAAGAGAAACCTGCAAGGGCAGACAATGCAAGTGATTTTGTTTCTTACAAAATAGATCAATCTGATCAGCTGCACAAGTATTATCTTTGTTTTGTTCAAGTATTATCTTTTGTTGGCCAAGGAACAAATATAGATCCAAAATTTACAACCAGATTATAAAATGATGCTTCAGTGGTTTGAACCTTAATGGCCTCAAATTTATTTAATATAAGGGTACAATTTTCTACAATTCATCTTGGATCTGTAAACTTCAATAATACTCATTATACCATGCAAGTGGCTCAGCAGTGCAAGAAGAAATCTTGAATTGCGTAAACCATTTAGTAAGGCAGCTGGCTGCCTCCTGATTGGAGACAAAGGTGCAAAATTCTCTAAAATATTATTTAAAAAAAACAAAGTTTGAAGTGCTACTTCAGAGTTCAATCTGAATGACACTCAAAGATAGTTTTTTAAAAAAAAATCAGATTAAAAGAGGCGACAGTAAAAGCCAGACAACATCATAATCTGCACAATATTGTATTTTGTCGATCATTTCAAGCATGTGCCTTGGATTCTAACGAAGATGAATACAATCCTCTGGAAGGAATGGGGGGTAGGGCGATGACCTCTTGAAAATGGATTGTGACAACAGGTGTGAACCAGATGGATAAACTCAAAATTTTTCCATTTCTACTCTTATGCAAATAGCTGCACTTTTCTCTTAAATATGTGTTAAATTTTACCTGTAAAAGCTGAACCTTTGTTTGTAAATACAGAGCAAGATGTTCTCTTCCTTGTTTTGTGACTGTGCTGTCTGTCTAGTTCATTTGAGAGGAATGAAATTAGTAAATTCGATCGTGTTTGCAGGTTATACACAGTGAGAATGATCCATTAAAACTGTCCAATGAAATTTTTTTTTAGATCTTCAAGAGATTTATTACATTAATCCATACAGATTAGATTGCTCTCCTCATATTTTCACTCAGGGTATGAATTTGAAACATTAAAATTGTCAGCGTAGGCAGAGGCTATTCAGTCACTGAGCCACGGCTGTTTTTAAGTTGCCCCTTTTTTAAAAAAAACATTTTTTAAGCTCTTTCCCCATATCCCTTAATATTTTACTTCTGATGTGTTCATTCAATTGCCTTTTGAATGATTCGATTCATTCAGCCTCAATAGCGAGATCCTAAGAATCCACTGAGTAATGAACTTCCATCTATCCTCTCCCTGTTTCTTCTGTTAACAATACTGAGACTATGCCCTCTTGTAATAACGTTTTTTCACTATTTACCTTCTCATGCCCTTTCAGAATCTTGAATACCTTAATCACATCCCTTCTGTTCCAATAGAAAATGCCCCCAAATAACTAGTCTCCATTCCTATGTATTCTAAACATTGTATCTTGTCAGACCAGCCCTCCTGTTGCATGAGTACATTTTAGTGAATTTCACACTGGATTTGAGGAAACCACACTGCCACATTCTAAGACTTGTGGTTGATCCAGAGATTATCAAAATCAAATAATTAGTGTTTCCTTTGTTGCTTCATTGATGGAGTTAATTTCTCTCACCGCATATCCGACCCCCACCTCCGTTAGACAAAGTCTGTCTCCAATGTAAACTCGACTCTAAAGGCCCTCAGTAAGCAACTGCTGGTTCATGACAGTTTTTTGGGAGGTATTTCATACGTATGATAATAAAACAACAACAACAAGATTCCATTTATAGAGCGCCTTTCATGTCGGGAGGACGTGAAAGCCACTTTTTTGTTTTTGTTGTATTATCTCAAAATTAAACAATTTGCTTTGCAAATTAATTTTGAATGTTTTTCTAAGGAGTGGTTTCAGCAATTCGGTTTACTGATACATGGTTCAACATTTGGACACAAATCATTGGTGAACCAATGATTGTTCACCAGCAAAGTGAAAAGGCGAGGCTGCACTAAGGCCAAGTGGGGCAAGGGAAAGCGGGCATCAGGTGTTCCCTATTGGGAGGGAGGGAGGATGAGGGTGAAGGAGAATAATTGTAGGAAAAGTCTCCTTAAATAATTACACTGTTGGCCTGTGTCTCTCAATGATAACTCAATTGAAATCAAACACCTTACGTGAAAAAAGCTCAATTTCCAAAATCAGACATTTTTATTCAAAAGAGATTAAAATAATTATGCTGTGTCAAGAAACACAGTTTCCCAGCCAAGAAATGCTGAAGAGCTGCAAACTGTTACCAAAAGCAGGTTTCATTTGACAAATGAACAGTTCGAAATAGCCGTTTGGCCAAATTGAAAGCTGAAGAAGAAGGAGCTATTTTTCCATACTTGTATTTTAGGAATATATTTTTGCAAATACGTAATATTTGGTTGCAAACATATTAAATAAGGAAAACTGCAGTACATTTAAAAATATCTGCAGGTCAACTTTGAGATATATTATCAACATTTCTTTTTGTACATCCGTTAATAATAAAAGCATCCAATTTAAATTGAATCAAACAGGTTAAAAGAATTATCTCCTTGCGCACAATTATATAAATTGAGTACAATTTGTATCAACTAAAGATTACAGATGTGTAATGTGGCACCATTTTTTATGAACAATGAATGCAACGTGGAAATAGCTCAACCTTTTCTATTTTCTACCCTCTCAAGCCACAGTGGTATGGTTGTCCTAGCTAAATAAGCAGAAGGAACCTTGCTATGAATGGCAGTGCATGCTCTGGGGTCCCCAAGCTATGACTCTCGCCAATGTGTGTCTAACACTCTCTAGAATTAGGTAAGTAGAGCATGTCCTTCCAGGAAAAGAGTAAGCATCCCAATCCAGACACAGGGCAATGCCTATACCTAGGTGCCATATGTATGTGGAATTCTTGCACCTAACTGACTAAAAAATAAATCTAACCTCCCCAATACCAAATCACTCTTTTCGTACCACATTGTAAGCCCTTTATGATGTTGAGTCCAGTCTCTGAGAAGACTTATTATAGCTGTAATGAAGTGATCAATAGAAGGATTATAGAAAATAAAACCTCCCCGGTGCCAGAAGAGCTGTAAATCAATGCGAATCAAAAATCTGTTTCAGATAACAGAGATTTAATCAAACATCACCATTTTTCTGCATCATTAATCCCACTGCCAATAGAACACAATCCAATTTATGGTTTAATTTGGGTTAATGACTATCATTATTCTATCAGTGAGTCACCCGTTTACTCAATCAAAACTTATAAAGACCAGCTAGATATTACACAAGGGTTAATTCACATAGTAACATTTCACTGCTAGGCATGCTCCAGCATCAAATAAATTGGAGGGTGAATGCAACTTATTCTTTTCAGGTCTGCCTGAGGCACACACTAACTATGCCCCAGGGGGCAAGCTATCTACAGCTGAGCTTCTGCCTATCCCACTGCAAGGCAACCACAAGGATTGGCACAAAAGTGGTCAAAGGGATGAATATCTTCCCCTTATAATGAAGTACCTGCACAGTATCTCCCCCGCAGCAATGTAGCTAATATCAGAAATACTAATATTAATCTCTGGATAAAAAGGGGTTGAATCCATGTCTCACCATAGCCATGGTGCAGTGTATTGGTGCTTTGACAGATGACTTTCATAAACTGTGGCAAATAAAACTACGAAAACTGAAAGGGCTGAAATAATTACAAAATTGCGACATGAAAATCCTCAGCATCCTTTCAGTGTTGTGAAATGCCTTATCTCTTCCTGTTCAACACAAACAAGCCGCTTTATCCGCTGCCAATCACCTGCAACGATTCAACTTTTTAAAAAAACAGGATTTTTTCAACTGAGGGTGTAACACAGGATGAGAATTTGCAAACCACTATTTTAAAGCCCTACAGAATTCTGTAATACAAACCCGAGAACATATTGAAGCATGGATGGAAACTCTTATTTCGCCCGTCAAACTTGTTCCTTCCACAGATCATACATAGCCTACTTCAGCATGGGTTGTACACCATTCATGTAGTCTCCTCAGTGAAAATTTTGCATGAATCCTCCCTGATTCTTAAGCAAACCGTTGGATGATCTTTCCTTACAGCTCTACTTTGAAACACTGGCCTGCATAAGTATCATAATAATAATAATAATAATCCTTGCATTTGATATAGCGCTTTTCACGTCTTCTAGACGTCCCAAAGCTCTTCACAGAATATACTGTAAAGTGAATTGACTGTATATTTATGGGCGGACGCGGCAGCCAATTGCGCACAGCAGTGTCCCACAAACAGTCATGGATTGAAAGTGACCAATTTATTCTTATCATAGTCTCCAATGGAGTAAAAATTATATTTAAAAAATGCAAATCTTAAATGGGGTAAATTTAAAATAATCTATAGCCCATGGAAAATAGGTCAACATTTCAGAGATAATTATTGACCTCTCCTTTCAGAAATCTGATTGACCATGTTGTGGGTTTTCTCAAGTGTCCTCTGAATGTCCTCTAATATTCATTTCAAATTTATGAACTCCTGTTCTGTGCTCAAGTCTGAACTGAACAGCCTCTAACATTTACCTCTGAGTATTTTTAAAACTTGCATAAAATCCCTCATCTGCCTTTTCTGCAATTAGGTTTGTGTGTTTCCTCATTTAGATACTTAGGTCTCAGAATCATCCTTGTCCTTCATTTAACAAATCGCTGAATCTTGTCCCCTGAATCAACATCCCTTTGAAGTTATAGTCACCAAAATTGCACATGATATTCCAAGCACCGTATCACCATGATCTGAGGTGGTTTAAAATAACGTCTTTCAACTCATAATAAAGATTCACCTGGCCAATTTGATAATACCCTATCGTCTGGAAACATTCCGATAAATAATCACATCCAAACACTTTCCATCTCCATCTTTGTGGCTGAAGATCTCTAATAAGAATAGCCATATATTTAACAGCATTTATAGTTAGTTTCTCACACTGAAATAATTTCTTCAGATCTTTTTGATCTCCCTTATATCTGAAACCTGTCCAATTATAAACCTAACCGTCTATAAAAAATGATCCAGAAAAGGACAATAGAATATTTGCACGCAGTTTACCAATGAACTGGTCAGGTTAAATGTTCAGTGATTCTCTGTAGAGCTATTGAACACATTTGCACTGAAGCATATTTCAATAGATATATCTGACAAGTCCACACAGTACTTAAGAGATTTAAACATGTTCATTTTGTACTACCCACCTCTGGAGTGACATCTCTTGGGGCAAAACCAGTTCCCCCAGTTGTTAATATGAGATTCAATTCCTTGTCATCACACCATTCGATCAGAGTCTCCTGCAACAAATTAAACAAGAATCCAGCTCAACATGGGCATTAAAAGTCATAATGTAATGTACAAACAGATGTTTATTACAACTTCAGTCTTGCTCTTTCACCTCTAAAAGACCACTTTTGATTTAACTCCAAGGAAAGATGACAGTACTTATCTCATTAATAGTTGATGTAAGACACAAGGGAGATATAAACATCTGCTGTAGCCCCCAACAGGCACAAGCCATTGAACGATACTTTCAACTCAACGCCTAATTATACAGGGACTTCAAATTCACATTGGTTGTGAATTCAATGATGAAATGTATCAACGCTGTAAGTATAAATGATCCAAAGATATTTTATTTCAATTGTAATAACCATGAAAAAGATGAGCATCAGTTTCAGTATCAGGAATGTCTGATGTTATTTAAATGTAAGAACACATTTAACATGAATTGACATAATGCACTCATTTTAGCCTCCACAGTGTCCCAAACTATGAATGTTCACCATTGTTTAAACATAATATAAATTTGTAATGTCCAGTACCTCAGTTATAACATCAGCTATTGAGATAAAGAACTTGATTCCAAAGTTAATAGAAGCTTTGGCGAGGTTGAGGAGATATAGTAAGGTTGTTAATCTTCCAAAAACACTTGACCTTAAAACAGTGGAGTGACCAGCATTCGACTTAAGCAGCAGTCATGCCCAAACTACACAACATTGACCTTACCCCAAAGACGAGCAAGAAATATGATATTTGCAGAATATGCAGTGACGACACTTTTTAGTGATTCATGTGAAGCGCTTTGAGACATCTTGATGACATGATAAGGTGCTATGTCAAATGTAAGGTTTACCCATATCATTATGAGAAAGTTTCATGCATTGCTTCACTGTATGGCATGCTCTCCCAGAGTGCTTGTTCACTGGTGCACAAACATTCCCTTGCTGAGTTGTGACTCACTGAACCAGGAATATTGGAGCATCGAATGGGCTTTGAGAAATCTCCAGCTTGCCCACTGGCAATCCAGAATAATTCCTTTCTGTGCTGAAGCTATGTTCATGGAACATTTGCCTTCATCAGAGATACTTCCACCTGAACCCTGCTGTCTTGTTTCCGTCCCTTGCTACCCCACTCCCCTTACCCCCATCCCCATTCCTTAAAAAATGTAAAACGGCATTACAGATGTTCTTCACAGAAAGTCATTATCCAAAACAAATCATAATCCCAGATGTACAATACAAGGTATTGGTATTAACGGTTTAAGATATCTCAAATGCTTAAAATTTCAATATTTCAGGGTTTCCAAAACATATTACTTTCCTGGTTATGAGTGATATTTTAATTCAGTGCTATAGTCTACAAGTCTTTCATAATAATCACATGTGACAAATCCTCAAATAACTCTGAATGAGTAAAGCAATAATGTGGCAAAAAATAGATCACTCCTACTATCACATGATAACACATTTTCAACAGTATGAAAAAAAAGGTTGGCCATTAATTAAACCTGAACTGAAAACTATGTTTCTTACTAGATCCTTGGTTGGAAGTATGAAATATGAGCCAGATGCAAGAGTTATCTCAGAAGTAACATCTGCGCACTCAGGAAGGTAAGGACATAGTGTCAGACAATCAAATGTTGACCTTATTTAAATAGTCAGAAAAGTGGCAGAAAGGTGGCGTAAACGTAATCCATCATGCGTAATCCTCAATGCACCAGGTTTTTCTATAAACACATATAAACAAACAGTATTATAAATGTCAGGCTGCTGCAATGTCTATCAGCATATTTATTTGGAATAGGGCATATCGCCTTGGAGCATGAACACATATTTACTGCACAGTGTAATGCTCTGAATTGTTCCACTTTTAAGCCACTGGGCACCCCTGAGAGAAACAAAAAGCATCTGTTAAAATGAATCTTTCTGAATAGGCCACATGCATTCATTGACCGATGCAAGGCACAGACTATCTTGTTCTTTATCATCCATTCACCTGAACATCTGATGTCAGGCATTTCATTCACCTTCCACCCTTGGGTCCTTACTGGGGATGGAAAAATAGTGTCACTGTTGAGCACTTGGGCAGATGGGACATTTATGGATTACTTTGCTGGACAAGGGTATACAAACTCTCAGTTATTGTGTCTTACAGCTGTGGACGTATTGTCAAAAGGACTACTTTTTGGAGGCGAAGGTCACATGGTCTATACATTGATTGTTTTGAGAGACTGCAATGCAGAGTCTTGTAGTTCTTTTGTTTATAGTCAGGTGTTATAGTTTGTAAGTCAACCTGACTGCCATAGAGACCCAAATCTTCATGAACTATATCTGAAGCTTCATGCATAGAATGGGGAAACAGGAAACTTCTGGATATCTTACACATGAGATATCCATCAGGTTCAGTCCAAAGCTGCAAATGAAATCACCTTCATCATCTTGTTTCAACTTCTCCATACACTGCAAAGTGCTGTACGGTAGTACTCAATTCAGAAAATCACAGTGTTACACTTACAAGATCAATATCTCATTAACGGCAAAATACAGGAAATGGTTTTTGTTCTGTCACCACAGTGAAATGTAGTGAGATATTAAAAGGGTGTTGATAAAATCTCCGATGAGATTTCGGGATTTTCATTAATAGATCATTAAAATTTCAAGCAAAGTTAAAAACGTTCTGAGGAATGACATTGAACATTTCCACAGTGCATTAATAAATAGTGCTTCAATTTGTAGTTGGACAAGCACTTAATTATTGGCTTCCACTGTGTTCAGTTGTCTTGCTTACCTCAAGAAAGCTTAATGCACATAAAGAAGTTGTGAACTTTAGGTGAACTTAAGAAAACAATGCTGTAAATAAAATGGAATCCCAAAATTGACTAAATCCTCCGGCTTATTTTTGAGTTATTTACTGCTGCTGCTATAAGATCCTTATGCTTTGCAATTCTAGATCCACTGAAGCAGAAAACAACTAGCATTTCAATCATTGTTAATTCCATTTCCTTAGCCTGAGAGTCTTACCATTTTTTCTGGTTGTATAGAATTCCTTTTTTTAAACTAAAAAAACCCTATTCTCATTTAGCATATAAAGTAACAAAAAGTTTAAATAACGTGTTACTACATAACATGTTAAGCTAATATACTGTTAACATTGGAGCACATAATTATCAAATCTGTCATTCTTTAACAGCTTATAACAGCAAACTGGGCAATATAATCTTAAAGCATATTTGGTATTTGGTCAATAATGTGACCTGCAGCAAAGCACTTTGTATGCCCCCACCTCCCAGCCAAGTGGAATGGATGAAACTTTCATGGAGACAAATGTTTGTCCAAATCCCAAAACACAAGTATACCCCAAGTGTTCTATAAAGCCCTCTAACCTTTATTACAAATACAGTATATCTGCCACACCTTGACTAGAATTTGTATCTTTGATTGAATGTTTACATCTATGGTCCTGTTAATAGTGAAAACCTGGACACCCCTTGCATGCTTATGGATACTGGAGGACAATCCATTGCCATTTAAGGTGGATATGAACAAAATAAGTGCTGGGAATGGTTAGAAATTTACCCAAAAGGTCATTGCAAGTCTGTTTCTGCAGCTTGTGTGACTCCCTGTGTGCCAGCATTACTTTGTGAACGAAACCAACACTTTATGAAACAAACGTCAACAAACGTCATTTTGGTTTAGAATAAAGGGAAGAGGTCTGCATACATTGTCTACCCCAATCATGAAGCTACCTTCTCCAGTAAAACAAGAGCCAACATTGTAGAAATGTAGCCAGACACTTTATACAATATGCATATCACTCCCTTCAAATTCCACCTTGTTTACCTCTGTCTATAGCAACATTCTTGGTCATGGTGGTGGTGGATTAAGATTCCCCTGAACTCCATGCTGAAACACACAGGAATGTGATTTAATGCAGGAATTGTTTACACTGCCTGTTCACAGCACCTTGGGAAGTCCTCTCGACGTGAAAGGCGCAATACAAATGTAATCTTGTTGTTGTAATCTTCTTGTTGTTGTCTTATCAAACATTTGCAAAATATTGTTTTACTCACAATTGACAATGCTGGTTAGATATTAAGTGCAGCGATACACTATACCAGCAGCGATGCACTACACCAGCCTGTCATATTCAGTAGTTCACTGAAAGGGACAAGAATCACCAGGTACATTTTATAATCAATGACTGTTCTAAACCGAAGAGCACACTGATTTATTGATAAGAATTATGGCCTGAGCTCCAAGAAAATTGAACAATTTGTTCAATATATTTCACATTATTCAATTTGAAAGGCTGCTGTGCTGCAACTTTTGATTTCACAGGTACTGCACCAGGGAGAAAAATGAAATCTATATTTCCATTTAATGTACATTATAAAATATTAACACAGCTCACAAAATAATTAACTTCATTTGGCCTTTTTCACGAACCGAAGAGTCGAAAGGATGACATTACAATATTTACACTGTGGAGACACTTCTTTTTCATGGCAGCTTTTGGGCAGCAAAATTAAATATTTTATATCCATTAGAGTAATGAGATTGTATCACAAGGCAATGTACTTGCACCTTTATCTATCCAGAGTGAATTATGCAAGATGGAACAATCCTTGGCTTTGTAAAAGCCCACAGATCTCTCTGTCAGCTGATTAACTAAAGCAGTGAGTTGAAATAGCTTTCAGTTTACTTCCATAAATTTTTGCAGCATAAATACTTTCATTCACATTTACGCAGCTAACTGCATTCATTTTGGGTTCCCATTGGTGAGCTTGTGGGTAAAAGCATTGACGGTGCAGTGTTAAGCCATCAGCTTGTCGCAGTGGTAGCACTCTCGCCTCTGAGTCAGAAGGTTGTGGGTTCAAGCCCCACGTCGGGACTTGGCAACACAGTTAAAGCTGACACTCAAACACAGCGCTGGGAGTGTGTTTGTCAGAACTGCTGTCCTTCGGATGAGACACAGGTGGATGTTAAAAAGATCTCTTGGCACAATTCAAAAAGAG